TTAAATGTTTGATTGAAAAGTTATGAGTCTCATGAAATGTATAATTAAAAATTCATAGTTAAGTTTGATCTTAAAAAGCAACTGTGGGAGTGTTTGGGAGATATTTTTATGTAAAAATGTATTTTTGAATAGTAAATTGATGGGAAATGTGTGGTTGAAAAAAAAGGAAAGGTTTTTGATTTACGTGTAATATTATTTTAATAAAAAATATGTGGTTGAAAAGAAGAGAGATAAAAATTCATTTTGAAAAAAATGGGTACCAAACGGGTTTGAGGTTGTTACCAAACAAGCCTAGATGTGCGGAAATAGGAGGAGGAATATCAGGCAGAAATTTGATCCCATTAAAGTAATCTGACCTCGTGATGTGAATAATATGCTGGAAAAATTTCATCAATTGAGGCCACACATGTATATGATTAACGTGTGCATTGCTATCTTATAGTTTTAATCTATTAAAGTGATCCAATGAATTTAATTTTGGACTAATGGGTATTAATTATTATGAGATTAAAGTGTAGAGGCCGGATGGTTGTTTTAAATTGATGAGGGGCTAATTTAAAGCAAACAAAAGATGATAACTACCTGTAGTTATTTATCATGGGGTCATGGTCCCCAATTGACGTGATATTCCATAACCTCTGCATCCCCATTAACAGAGAGTTTTTTAAGAATTCTAAGGGAAATCACGAATCAATTGGAAGATTGTAACCCATTCAAAATCATTGTTAATCTATGGATCAAGGTACGCTTCCGCTTTCTTGTTCTCTTTGATTCAACGTAGAGCATTACAATTTTGGTGAAAGGATCTGTTGATTCTTTCAAATCTAAATTATCAAAATTCTATCATGTGGTATCAGAGTCACTCAATTGTTGAATCTTTGAAAAATTTTGGGTTATTTGATCTTCTTCACGTTATTATTTGGAATTTGGCATGAAATTTGGATCAAGTGTATGAGAAATTAGGCGCTGCAATTTCCTACTTAACTTTCTGAAAATACAATTTTCTTACATATGTTGGTCATTGTTGTTATGCCATGAAATCAAATTGCGGGTTGTGCTTTTACTATTCTTATTTTGCCTATACGGTTGGTTTAAGTTTGAAATGGGTTTATTCTGTTGTTGAGACTATTGAGAGTGCCATTGGATGGTTCTCTGCAGCGATTAAGTAACCGGCCCAAGTGTTGGTGCGCCCAGATCAATCCCTAGCTCCCAAGGGTTAAGTGGTTGGGTGTTAGGTTCATAATTATGTATTTTTTTTCTTTTTCGGTTTGGTGCAAATCGCTGCACCACATAGCGCTGCTGTTGCTGTTGTGCTGCGCGCTGCTGCCGGTGCAAGGCTACGCAAGCGCTGGAGTAGGGAGAATTAGTTAAAAAAAAAAAAAAAGGTTTCTGGGTGATTTTGGGGACGGGGGCTTCAGGTGCAATTTGGGTTATTCCAAGGACCAGCTTGCAATTATCATATAGGTTAAAATTTAAGGATTCAGCCCCTGTAATTTAGAATTCATCTAATTGGGCCTTTTAAGTTATTTTCTGCATACCTTCGTATTCAAAATTTTTAAATGTGTTGAATAAAATAATAGTGTAGATTCAAAATTTCGCAGCTAGTTATTTATGAAAAACTTTCTGTGTTAATTTTAATTGATATTGAAAATAATAATGCAAGTAAATGATTTTTTCTCTTGGTCTCTAACCATTTAAATTGATGCTTCAAAGATAAATAAATATATTCATCTATTCTTCAAATAATTTGAGTTGTATGCGAGGTGATAGAGATGGCAAAATGGTTCGTAAGCTCGAGCCTCCTGTGGCATAGCCCATAAAAAGCGTGCAAGGCCGGCTCAAGACCCGATTTTTCCGAGCCTCATCTTGGGGTGACAGGCCGAACTCGAGCCGGCTCGAAATTAAAAAATAAATAAATTGTAGAGATAGTAGCCAGCCGCTGCCTTGTAAAGGTAGTTGCTGAAAGCAAAAAAAAAAAAAAAAACAAAAACAAAAACAAAAAATCGAGCAAAAAAAAAAAAAAAAAAAAAAAAACAAAAACAAAAACAAAAAATCGAGCAGGCTCGGCTCAGGTCTAGTCTCGATTTTTTGGCCGTCCTTTTGTTCGGCTTGGCTCGGGCCAAAAAAAGCTCGAGCCGAGCCCAAGCCTCAATTTTCGGCTCACAAGTCGGCTCGACTCGACTCGACTTATTAACACTCCTACGAGGCGATCGTATAATATTTAACGAGGATGTAAAAGGAAGCATGACTACAATCTCTTTTGCTAATAATTTCCCAGTTAGCACAAACTGGCTCAATATTCCCGGGCTTCTTTCGATGCACTTTGGCGATGATATAAATCAATAAAATTGCACATTTTTGTAAAAAATAAAAAATAATAAAAAATAAATAAATTATTACCTACATGAATATGTTGCCAAAATTATTCTTACGTGCGACTTCTTCGGTCTAATGGCGACATGTTTTTCATTTACAAATAGACCGATCGCCAAGGAAAAAATTTTGTTCGAAGAGTTGAAAACGTGACACGTAAATCTTCTATCAAAGTTTTCCTCTGCTATGATACCTAAATACGGTCATGCGTATGATGAGATGTCATAAAATCTTCGACTAACAAAAAATTATTGTAATCTTTTTTATTAAATTGATCATCAACAGAACAAATCTATCCAAGACTTACCATAGAATTTGTGAGTTACACACTTACTTGAAAACCGTATGTTATACATGTTATTAGAAATATAAAAATTTGTGATGATCATTGATCTTCATGGAATCTTATTTCCAGATTGAGTCACAAAACAGGCACAATAGCAGCATCGTGGGGGTATTGCAGTTTGGCAACACAGGCAGGGAGGACAACTTGGCTTCTGAACGAGTTCTGCATCACACAGAAAACGAAATATTCAATCTAAAGCTCATCTAAAAATTTAAATTGACTGATCGTAAATTCAAATGATATTTTCAGCAAACCTAAATAACATATTTCGTTCATAGTATGTACCTCGATAGGTCAGTCCAGCTTCATTGCATGGTATCACGGTGGCAAGAACGACCCCGAAAATTAGAAATGTGACCAAAAAGGAGGTTGGGGAGAGCTTAGACATTGCTTACTAAGGATATAATTTCTTATAGCTCTTAATTTATTAGCTCTATACTTATAGGTGGGTTTTGAGTCAAAACAAAACAAAACTCTACAAGAGTAGTTGAATGTTGATTTATTGCTTGGAATCATTCAACAAGGAAGTGCTTGACCAAAACTTGCAATTACTTGTAAAATACTTTGAGAAAATATGGTATTTTGACCCCGAATTTCTTAGACTGATGAATAAAGGAAAAAATAAATCATTATGACTACATCCTTGTTTGGCTCTTATTTCTTAAAATTTATTTTCCACAAATTTATTTTCAATCACCGATTTCACTAGACATACAAATTTTATTGACTTTTCAATCACACGTCACTAACTTTTATTAAAATTTACTGAAAGTCCAATTTTTATTCCAAACTAAGTAGAGGCGCATCTTGCTTGAATATAGAAGGGTTTAATTCCATGTCTTAGATAATATAAAAGTCAAATAACTAATTGTTTGCTTGACTTGACTTGGAAATGGAGAAAAATAAACGTATTAATATTTATTACCTTCCTAACTAAGTGCTCCGTAATCCATTGGAACTTCGATTGGTCAAATTCACTGTCGTGTGTCAAAAAGGGACTGAAACTTGTCCCTCTTTTATTTCCATTTTTCCTATTAGGATGATTGTATTAAGAAATATACTACTTGTATATAATGCGGTGTTCATTGCCTAGCTTACATGGAGGGAGTCATGATGTACCTGTAGCATCACTCTTGTATTAAAACTATAGTTCTTGTAAACTACACTATATTTTGATTATAATAAACGATTCTTTATGTCTCTAACTGTTTTTGACATTCTTTTTCTCAATTTTTGTATTAATTTATACATCTGGTTTCTAATGACGATTTCTATGATCTATAAAATTGTAAAGAGTGCAAAAAAAAAAAAAAAAAGACTTACTTTTCTATCATATTTTCAAATAAGAAAAATAAATATTAAATATTAAAATTCGACCAAATATTTGTCCTTTAATTTAATGCACAACTAGCACAACATTTGAATAGAAATCATCATCAGAAATAAAATGTGCTAATTAATGAATTGTGACGAAAAAAGTTTGATACACAAGTGCAAATATGAACAAAAATTAGAAACTTTCATTATAATGAAATGTGATGTAACAAAAGTGGATATAATTACCCTTCTTTTTATAATTTCTTGCAATATATGACTTGGGATATATGTGGTACACTTTTCCCTTTGAATAAATGAACTTTATCAGATTGGCTGTGAAGTATCAGCTGAAGTTAATTGCTATTTTGTACTAACTAATATACATAATGAAAGAGATGTTAAGACTCAATTTTGCAATGTATTCACACGTTCTATTCAGGAAAAACTGCAGAAAATAAGTCATAAATGCAACCCACAAAAGATTTTAATAACCACTATGGGAAGGCAACTTCCTTATAAAGCAAAATAACAAATGTCTGAATCCATATTAGTTCAGAAAATAATTTGCAAGAACATATAATTTGCTTTGATGACGGGATCCGACGACTAAAGCCCTGATGGACAGCAGCCGTAAAGCCTGAATATCCTAACTCAGATTGCACTACAAATTCTGGAGACTGACTCTATATCTTAAGTTTGCATTGGTAGCCTCCATTTTGCCCTTTATGCTGCAGCCTTCTTTTCGACTAGTTTCTCTATCAAATCAGCTGCTTCTTGTATTGTTGTTATGTTCTCAGAGCTCTCTTCCTCCACGCTAATGCAAAACACTTCCTCGAGCCCCATAACTATTTCTACCTGCACCAACCATACATTGTGAAATGACATTATGGTAGTGGGTTCAGTGCATTGGACTAGACAAGATCAGACAAAATTAAGGAGCAGACAATTTTTCAAAAGCTGAATTCGCGTTGAAGACTAAATTTGAGTAAATGAATATGTCACATCCTTACCAGCTTCAACTTTTCAATAAGCTAGTCCGAGAGTTCGATCCTGTGTGACAAACATGTCATGAATGCATATAAGCATGGGAATATGAAACTGCGGCTTACCGTGTCAAGTGAATCAGCACCAAGTGCGGTAAATTTCGTATCAGGGGTGAGCTCTGTCTCGGCAGACAGTGCTAATTGCTTCCGCACAATGTCACTAACTTTCTGCACTGTTTCATGTTTTGCCTGTCCATCCGTGCATTACAAGTTCAAACCATAATCGATGCAAAATCTAATTTTATTTCTAAAAACCCGTGAATGAGAAATCATATAGGCAAATGGAGAAATATGTATTACTCCACAAGTGATTCGGGAGCGCGAGATTATCAGAGGAGGGAAACCAGTAGTCCTTGCCCAACCCACTGAAATCAAACTTGCACTTGTACCTTTAAACTGTATATTCATAGCGCCAAAATGAAATCAGTGGGAATACAACCAAAATTATATACAGAAAATGCAAAGAACCGAGCAACTTGGATTAGTACAGTTTAATATCAAACATGTCTTCATAAATCTTATCGAGTCTTGTCCAGTTTAACATACCGAAGTATAAAATTTTAGTAGACCCTAAGTATACAAAAGGAATCTGCTCTACGCGTAAAGGGTATGTTGAAGACTAAACTTAAATAAATAAATGCACCTTTTCTCTGGTAGTATAAGCTTTTTAGACAAAATGTTTCAAGAATATCCAAATTCATCGTGGAAAACAGTGAGCAAACATTTAAGAAATGCATAGAACTAAACAAGATTAGACAAAAATGTTCATATAGTTGAATATATACATAATGAAGATAAGGTGTACCTGGTTGTTTGTCTTGCAAGATAGCTTAAGTGGCTTCTCAAATGTAACAAAAGTAGCTGAAACAGAGGCCATTGAGACTAAAAAAAGTGTAGTTTTTCAAGGGCGAGTTATTAACGTTTGAGCTGTTTCAACAAAGTTTGAACACTCAAGATAAGCAGAAATGATAAGAAAATTCCTTTGTACAATTGTTTTCTTGGAAGTATTAGCCAACTTGGGCGGGGGGTAGCCCAAAAGGCCAAGAATCAAGAGAAAATTCGAGTGGTGAATATTCAATATAAACCCTATCCAATTTGACAAGATTGGATTGCGTTACTTTTATAGTACAATTTTTCCATTTGTACAGAAGTGGTTTCATAGAAACAACACAGAACACTCACATGGAGGTGGATTTCATGTGAATAAAATAATGTAAAAAAAAAAAACCACCCCACGTGCAGTGTACACAGAAGGGTTCTTTATAGTAGGATTGATTATCTTAGCAACTTGGTCTTGCGCTTTAATTTTATTTTTTATTTTTTGTCCTTTTTTTGTTGAAAATATTAATAGAAAATAAAGGCCCGCAAAGTCGAACCATAATATTTGGGCCTAGGTTGGACCAACACGGAGCACAGAACGATTCAATCTGGGCCTAGTCCAGGCCCAATATTGTAAGTAACAAATCTTATCATAAAGGGAAGCCTGAAAATGTGTTGCTCATCAGATAGATTTAACAGGCCTCTAATTTTATTTTTGGGCAGTATCTAGATATTTGGACATATTCAATGCTTCTGCAGTATACACACGCACAAAAAGTGGAAATTTAGAAGGAATCCTTGGTATAGTGCTGACTTTCTTTTTCACTATAAAGAGCTAGTATTTTTCAAAATTAGATATTTATATAGTCAGTTGAATAAATCAACTCCTAGATGACTCTCCATAATTTTATTCAAAATATGTTTGGCGTACGTGCAAAAATTACGTTGCAAATGCATGTGTTAAAACATTAACGACAAGTACATTGCAATCTTTCATGACGTGCATTATCTTTTGTTGTATTCGTGTACTCTATAATACCACCCTAACGTATAAGTGGACGTTGTAAAAGACACGCGACAATATATTCTGCTTATTGTAAAGGACAATTTTCTTGTAATGTCTCTAAAATTTTATTTAGAATCTGTTTGGTGTACCAATTACCATTATGTAGCAGAAAGTAACAATATATGCAAAAAGTAAACTTGCTTCATTTTTTTTTTAATCAAAAAAGGACTTCTTCACAATACAGAAATCAGGCATAAATTAAAATACGCTGTTTTGATTAAGAAATGCCTTGTTGCTTTGGCTTGAAAAACATACACAAGGTATGGATTTGATTTTTAAGTATCCTATATATGTTTCTTATCAAACAAAAAGAGTCCAAAGACGGCAAACTTACACAATATTAAGCTAAAATTAATTGCTTTTCGTCTTCCAGAGACTCCAGTAAAGACCATAATCATCTGTTTAAGCGATTTTCTATGATCAAAATATTACTAAATTCTTTGTACAAACATCTTAAAATTGTTCTAATTATCAGACATAACATCAACAGCAGATTGATATTAGACAACTAATGAAAAAGAACAACTTGTACAAAAACCCAATTGTTCCATCGAACCTACCACCACACACATATATACATCATATATTATTTACAGACTAGACGCATCGTAACAAGTTCTAATTAACAAAGCCAAATCTAAAGTACAAAAAATATAAACTGTGCATAAATCATATATATAACCGGCTTTATTAACTAGAAAATCACCATTTTAGATCAAAAGCAAACCAAGAATCAGTCCATCACTGACCAACAGAGATGGATTGTCCTTGGCCGGCTAATCCAAGCCTCGATCTCGAGTGTTGCCTGGTGATCATTCTTGTGATATCGGGATGAGCCACTGATCCACCGATAATATTTTTCTCCGCCTCTCGCTTTACTTTCTTGACCTGGCTATGAATTGGATGATCATAGCCTTCTCCCGTGCCCTTATGCGGTTGTTCCTCCATTTGCATAATTGTTAAACGCAACAGCAGAAAAAAGTCTCTATTTGTACGAATATGACTCTGTTTACAAATTTGTGTGTATAAATAGGTGGGAAGGGAGAACGGAAAGTTGGTGGGTATGTGTTGTTTGGATTGGGTTGAGACAGCAATTTTGACTGTTCTAAGAAAATTCGACGTATACTGAAAGTTAAGTCTGGAACGTTCCATTTGTCAATTCAGTGGAGAGTTTGATCTGTATTGTGTCTGATAAGAAGAACGAGTCAAATTAGAGAATAACGCGGTGCTTTTCGCATTTGAATTGATCTAATTAAGGTATATAAGAGGAAGATGCCACGTTTATTCCATTAAAACAAGATGGTCGGTCTTCTAAGCTAATTAAGTAATCTAGAAATTGGTTGACGACGTAAATGAATCACAAACAAATATATAGATATATAGTTGACGTGCAGGAATAATATTAAGATAATTAGTCCTTGTTTGATGGCAATGAATTTTTTATTTTTTTTTGTTGAAATAAATGAGTTTTGGAATAATATTTTTTTTTTGAAGAATGTGTGGTTAAAAAGTAGGAAAATCTTCGATTTACGTTCAAAATATTATTGTGAGAATGTGTAATTGAAAGAGTTTTACACACAAATTTTTTTTAAATTAAATTAAATTAAAAAATAGTAGACAAACAGGAGATTTATTACTTTAAAGCAGCATTCTAAGATGCGCACACATATGCCCGCATATGTTTGATGCTTTTTCGAAACACTTCGCATGTGGGGTATGCGTGTGATAATACAATCAATCCATTTCGTTGATTGTATATGCACGATTAAATGCCAAAATGCACACATTGTGTTAAAAATTGTGTCAAAATTATCTTAGCAAATTCCAGCCCATTTTTATAACTAAAAAAGTAAATTGAGGCCAACAAACATCAAATTAGACCAAATCATCCAAGTCTAGTGGTGGCAATGGGCCGAACCCTTAAACACAAGCTCAAGCACGGCTTGTGCTCAAGGGGCGAGCTCGGCTCGGCCCATGAGCTCATTTTTTTTTTTTTTTTTCAAATTTCAAATTTTTTCTTCACATTTTTTACGAGCCCTCGTGAATGGCCCATGAGCTGCTCGCGAGCTGGCTACCTCGGCTCATTGGATCCCACCCCTGCTTGGCTCGTGCTCGGACTTGTCAAACTGTCGACAAGCCGATGAGCCGTTCCTCTAATTTTATTTTTGGGCAGTATCTAGATATTTGGACATATTCAATGCTTCTGCAGTATACACACGCACAAAAAGTGGAAATTTAGAAGGAATCCTTGGTATAGTGCTGACTTTCTTTTTCACTATAAAGAGCTAGTATTTTTCAAAATTAGATATTTATATAGTCAGTTGAATAAATCAACTCCTAGATGACTCTCCATAATTTTATTCAAAATATGTTTGGCGTACGTGCAAAAATTACGTTGCAAATGCATGTGTTAAAACATTAACGACAAGTACATTGCAATCTTTCGTGACGTGCATTATCTTTTGTTGTATTCGTGTACTCTATAATACCACCCTAACGTATAAGTGGACGTTGTAAAAGACACGCGACAATATATTCTGCTTGTTGTAAAGGACAATTTTCTTGTAATGTCTCTAAAATTTTATTTAGAATCTGTTTGGTGTACCAATTACCATTATGTAGCAGAAAGTAACAATATATGCAAAAAGTAAACTTGCTTCATTTTTTTTTTAATCAAAAAAGGACTTCTTCACAATACAGAAATCAGGCATAAATTAAAATACGCTGTTTTGATTAAGAAATGCCTTGTTGCTTTGGCTTGAAAAACATACACAAGGTATGGATTTGATTTTTAAGTATCCTATATATGTTTCTTATCAAACAAAAAGAGTCCAAAGACGGCAAACTTACACAATATTAAGCTAAAATTAATTGCTTTTCGTCTTCCAGAGACTCCAGTAAAGACCATAATCATCTGTTTAAGCGATTTTCTATGATCAAAATATTACTAAATTCTTTGTACAAACATCTTAAAATTGTTCTAATTATCAGACATAACATCAACAGCAGATTGATATTAGACAACTAATGAAAAAGAACAACTTGTACAAAAACCCAATTGTTCCATCGAACCTACCACCACACACATATATACATCATATATTATTTACAGACTAGACGCATCGTAACAAGTTCTAATTAACAAAGCCAAATCTAAAGTACAAAAAATATAAACTGTGCATAAATCATATATATAACCGGCTTTATTAACTAGAAAATCACCATTTTAGATCAAAAGCAAACCAAGAATCAGTCCATCACTGACCAACAGAGATGGATTGTCCTTGGCCGGCTAATCCAAGCCTCGATCTCGAGTGTTGCCTGGTGATCATTCTTGTGATATCGGGATGAGCCACTGATCCACCGATAATATTTTTCTCCGCCTCTCGCTTTACTTTCTTGACCTGGCTATGAATTGGATGATCATAGCCTTCTCCCGTGCCCTTATGCGGTTGTTCCTCCATTTGCATAATTGTTAAACGCAACAGCAGAAAAAAGTCTCTATTTGTACGAATATGACTCTGTTTACAAATTTGTGTGTATAAATAGGTGGGAAGGGAGAACGGAAAGTTGGTGGGTATGTGTTGTTTGGATTGGGTTGAGACAGCAATTTTGACTGTTCTAAGAAAATTCGACGTATACTGAAAGTTAAGTCTGGAACGTTCCATTTGTCAATTCAGTGGAGAGTTTGATCTGTATTGTGTCTGATAAGAAGAACGAGTCAAATTAGAGAATAACGCGGTGCTTTTCGCATTTGAATTGATCTAATTAAGGTATATAAGAGGAAGATGCCACGTTTATTCCATTAAAACAAGATGGTCGGTCTTCTAAGGTAATTAAGAAATCTAGAAATTGGTTGACGACGTAAATGAATCACAAACAAATATATAGATATATAGTTGACGTGCAGGAATAATATTAAGATAATTAGTCCTTGTTTGATGGCAATGAATTATTTATTTATTTTGGGGGAAATAAATGAGTTTTGGAATAAAAACTTTTTTGGAGAATGTGTGGTTAAAAAGTAGGGAAATCTTCGATTTACGTTCAAAACATTTTATTGTGAAAATGTGCAATTGAAAGAGTTTTACACACCAAAATTTTTTTAAATTAAATTAAATTAAAAAATAGTAGACAAACAGGAGATTTATTACTTTAAAAGCAGCATTCTAAGATGCGCACACATATGCCCGCATATGTTTGATGCTTTTTCGAAATACTTCGCATGTGGGGTATGCATGTGATAATACAATCAATCCATTTCGTTGATTGTATATGCACGATTAAATGCCAAAATGCACACATTGTGTTAAAAATTGTGTCAAAATTATCTTATCAAATTCCAGCCCATTTTTATAACTAAAAAAGTAAATTGAGGCCAACAAACATCAAATTAGACCAAATCACCCAAGTCTAGTGGTGGTAATGGGCCGAACCCTTAAACACAAGCTCAAGCACGGCTTGTGCTCAAGGGGCGAACTCGGCTTGGCCCACGAGCTCCTTTTTTTCTTTTCTTTTTTTAAATTTCAAATTTTTTCTTCACATTTTTTACGAGCCCTCGTGAATGGCCCATGAGCTGCTCGCGAGCTGGCTACCTCGGCTCATTGGATCCCACCCCTGCTTGGCTCGTGCTCGGACTTGTCAAACTGTCGACAAGCCGATGAGCCGTTTGGCCCATTTGACATCCCTACCTAAACCCGTAAATTATATACAGCAATTTGTAAAGTTTTGACGTTTAGAAACGCATCATCATGTATTTTAGAACATTGCTTTGAAGTAGAGGGGAGCTCCTTGCCTGTCCTGGAAACAATTTTAAGTTTTTGTATATTTGTCTCTTCAAAGCTACATGAAAATCATAACTCTTCACTACTTCATATAAGTTTGTGGATCTGCACAGATTTTAAAATCATAACTTAAAAATTGTTCGTAAAAGTAGAGGATATTAATATTTTTCTATGAAAGCTATGAATAATAAATTTTATGAATATTGATTTGACTTACATGACTTGAGCCCTTTCTTCGAAAGCGAGGCCGACGCGTCCTAGGTGTAATATACCTACCTGATTCTGACCAGACTTAGTTTACACACGCCTTTCCCAGAAAATACAGCCAATCATTGACTCATCGACCGCTAATTTCTTGTCTAGAAAAAAACGACACAACCAATGCATTTCTATTGTCCACAAGGTTCAATTTTTCCTTCCATTTATTTTCAACTTTTAACCAGAATTAGGGGATTTCCTGTCTCAATTGGGTTCTATAAATTGGGAGGCTAATTTTCCTTTTTGGGGCTTTGTTTTTTTTTTTTTGAAAACTTTTGTACTTTTCTTCTTCTCTTCTATTGTTACAATGTTAATCAAGAAATTGGTGTCTCTTCCTTCTCGTTCAGGACGACATTTGCAACGTTACAATGATGGTTGTCGGCTAGTTGTTGGGTATGTATTTTAAAAACCTCTCTTTTTCTTTGTTTTCATTTTTTCCTGAATTTTAATGCGAGTATTTTTCTACGGGTATATGTTTGTTTGATGATCTTTTCTTTTTTTTGGGGGTCATTTTTAGGATTTTGAGGGAAATTGAAATAAGGGGTAAAGTTTTTGGAGTTTGAAAAAAATGAATTTTAATTATTGGCTTATAAATTTTTACTCTTTATTTCCAAATTTTGTCAGATGTATTCCATACAGATTCAGAGAAACCAAAACATCACCTCCAATTCATGGGACCGTAATTGAAGAATTGGAAGTTTTATTGATTACCTCTCAAAAGAGTCCAAGAATGATGTTCCCAAAGGTACGTATCATATGCATATTATAAGAATTATTACATGTTTATTTAAATGTTTTATTCACACTGTTTATTTTCCAATGAAATCATTAGGGTGGTTGGGAAATTGATGAAGATATCAAATTGGCAGCTACACGAGAGACCATGGAGGAAGCCGGTGTGGTCGGCACCTTAGGGGTTAGTACACATTATTCTTATCGAATTTTATTATCTATGTAGTACTAAATAACATTGTAAAAGCATCTTCTTTGTTAATCATATTCAATGTTGTCCAATCCAATATACAGAACATGCCCTAAAGCTTTGTGTCCTTATTTTGCTCCACTGCATATTCTTATAGGATAAATTAGGTGAATGGATTTTCAAGAGTAGAAGCAGAGAAACATTTCATGAGGGCTACATGTTTCCTATGCTCGTCACAGAGGAATTTGATGTTTGGCCGGAGAAAAATGTCCGTCAGCGAACATGGGTAAGTTCCCTTGTCAAAGTCTATGCACACGCTTATGTAAAGTTTGTTCGTAAGCAATTTGAATTGCTTTTGTGTAAGTACTATGTCAAATATTTTTCTTGTTCCACAGATGACAGTTAATGAAGCTCGGGAAGTATGCGCACATTCATGGATGAAGGAAGCGTTGGATGCATTTTGTTCATCGATTCATGCTTCTTCAAATAAGGAGAAAGAATTCCTTCTTTAGCATAGAATTTCACAAGAGCTCAACAACGAGAAGAGAAGAAGAAATTGATTATTGCTTAGTTAAAAAATGGAGTAGCCATCGAGCCATTTTCGAGGCCGAAAATGATTCATGTAGCGACACTTTCCAAGTAGGAAGTTTAATGATGTGGACTTCTCGTGAAGGTAGAGAGAGAAAGAGCCACGAAGAGAGAAAATAGTGGAGATGTACAAATATTAATCTTATTCTTTTATTCATTGAAATTTATTGCTTTTTCAAAATGATTTTATCGTCAAATTTGAACTTGCTTGTTTAATTGATATCCATTGATTCTTTAGGCATAAAGATTCTGAAATATATCAAAAGGAATTTATATGATGGCACACCAAAATTGAATTAGTTGAGATTAATCTCAAGTTGTGTGAAGAACTAATGTGAATGGCCTTGACTATTTATTTTCCAAATTGTCTTGCTGATGAATCTTTGAATATCTTTGTGATTCAATGGATACCTGGTTTTTAAATTCCAAAATGATTGCTGATGACTTTTCGTAGTGTGTGAAAGGAGGAAATTTCCCGTATAGGACTCTTTTAGAAATGCATATTCAAAAGAATCAATGCTTCCATGTATCACGCAGGATCATGTTTGAAACGGGGTGGATCTTAAGGCAATGGGCTTCGAGTGAATTCCCGATCTTGGTTTTGGGTGATATACATTGATTACACATCCTCCATGTGTTGTAGCCCTTGGAAAAACGTTATGACAATATCATACATCAGTTGGTATCAAAACTAAATATCCACGTTCAAGTTGATGAGGTCTCATAGTCAAGTTGATACTAGAACATTCCAGTAAAGCAAGTTTATAATGAATGCGCATGCTTTAAATGGGATGAGCCAAAGGGAGTGGGCTTAAGGTGAGATTACTTGTAGGTAGATTCAGGCCGATCCACTTATTTTGATACACATATATTCAAATATGATTCGGAAATTTTCCTATCTACATCGTTATAAAATAATTCAATAATTACTATGTGATTTTTGAAATTCAATTACTACTTTGTGATATGATAAATATTTTAGAAAATACTGCATCCCATAATTAACCCCAATATAGTCTTTGTAACTAACGAATTTTTTAATTATCCCTAGTATTATGCAACCATTAATGCCCTTTCAAAACACATTGTGATGAGGATATCGGACGACGTTTACTTATTTTATTTATTTTCTTGGACTATTATCTAAATTTGGACTTGTATGGGCTCGGGCTCAAACTCGTTAGGGTTTCTTTACTATTTAAACCTATTTTGCATTGTAATTTTCAATTGATGATGAATAAATAATATTTTGGTGGCTTATGGCATTTTTCTCTCTTCCTGTTTTCTTTCTTCCCTTCTATTGAATCCCCCATCCCTTTCTTCTCTCTAATTCTCCCTCTCCATAAATCTGTTTTATTTCTCAATTAACTGTCCTGTTGGTGCTGCATCAAATTTGGTATCAGAGCCTAAACTTGGGTAATCTCTCATCTCCAATCCAAAATCTAGGTTTTTTCTGCAATTTTAGTTCACACCCCAGCAGCAAAAAAAAAATTCGTGTTACTGTTCACGGGTACTATTCACACCCGAAAATTCATTTTTTTGTATTATCAGCTTCAAAAAAAAAGTTACTGTTCACGCCCCCAAAAAAAAAATCTCATTTTTTTCCAGCTGCTGCTGCTCATAAATAAAAAAAAATAATTGTGGTGTTGTTCCACAAATCCCAAACCCTAGCATTCAAGCCTACTTAGCCCTTCAGCCCATATACTCCATCTCTATAACCTACTCCATTCATTTTTTTTATCAAAACACTTGGGTCATAAGCTAGTGGCCCAAATTACTCCCAAAGCCCACTAAACGCACAACCCATCTCTCATCATCTATTTAGCCAATCAACTTGTTTTCCAACCCAATAAACACTAAATCCAACCCACTTATCATATATTATCACAATCGGCCCAACATCATTCAACCCATAACCGGTCCCAAATTCGCGCAACCCATAATCCTAGCCCATTATATATAACACTTAACCCCGCCCATATCTACAATACCCAATCAACTCAAACCCTAAGCTCTTCCTTCCTCGTCGGTATCCCACAGTCACCACACTTTCTGCGACCGCCTTCACCGCCAATCGCCAGCAACCCACTGCCACGCCAGTTGTCACCTACCACCCGGAGTTCAGTTTTCGCTTTACTTTTCACGTCGGTGGAGTTCTTCCGAGTTCAAAGTGCCAGGGAGATTTGTTGAATTGGATTTGGCTTATTATTTGCATTGGGACAGCTTGTTAAAACTCTTGAGGATTAGTGTTCCATTCTATACTGCTTAGGAGTATTCTATTATAATTTTCTACTGGAGACGTGCCAACTAGGGAATCATAATTTGGCACAGTTCTGATTCGTTGGGTCCTGAAGTACATCACCATCAAGTTTGAGCTTCTGTGGGCACCATCATTGCCACTAAACAATAGGGAGTGCTTGATTTATATTTGTCATTGGTTTACAATACTGCTTCATTTAAAATTGCATTAATTAAATTTTTGTGATATAATTCTACCAATATATCTAAAGTCACGTGACTGAATCAGTTGATTTTGTCAAAACCCTATTTGATCCTACTTATGTTACATGATTAGTTTTTGACTAGTATTTGATCCGTGCTTTATTATTTTACATAGATCAGGAGCATTAGCTTGCCATATTTGAATTTATTTAACCCTGAAAAAAATGATTTGTTTGTTATTTTTCATCTTTTACATTTATTGTTCATTGATCTCATCATTGCACGTCATTTAGCTGGTATTACATTGCATGTAGATGCATAGTGGTCGTCTTGTCGTCTCTGTTCGCGAAATATTTTCTTTCGATTTAAATTGCCGCAAGTGTACGGTTCGTTAACAAGTAATAAAGTGGATTCAATGAGTCCGAGTATCGTCCCACAGAGATTGGTTAGTTCAATTTTACTTATTCGACCTTAACCGAAACCAAATTACTCAAAATGAATGTGGACCTAATTAAAACTCTAAAATTGGAAAGAGAACCCTACTTATGCAGCTTTTATGATTGTAATGAAATTAATAAGCAAAACAATAATTTAAAACTCTAAAATGAAATCAATTGTTGAGAACGCACGTTTGTTGTAATCAATAGAAATTAAACACACTAGGATCACGATTTCCCATGCAATTATCACTTTAAACTCTAATTTCACAATATGACAACATAATTCAATTGTTGACGAATCAATGTTCCTAAGTCTATCCAATACTCTCTCTCGAGATGTATCAAACCTATTTCTACATACCACCGGCCTATATTTCTATGACAAGTGCATATGTAAAAATGCATGTAGTTTTATGAACACTTAAAAATTCACGTAGGGCATAGCGCTATATTTTTATCCCCTATCGGACCCTACGATGATTTATATTATGTCGAATCTATTCCAATTCTCTCGAATGCAAGAATAAATCACCCAAACTCACACAATTACGGACCCTTAATTGCGGAAACAATAAATGCATATAAATCATTCAAAACAAAAGAAATATGTTTTAATGTCAAATTGCGAAACTAGAAATATAAAACTCAAATCACATGGTACATCGATCTCCTAGCACATGAAAATCTAGCCTAACATAATTGGAAATAAAGAAAAACAACAATTAAAACCAAGGAAGAACATCACCCAATTGATTCTTGAAGTGAAATCTTGAATCTTGAAGTGGATTGTCTTGTTTTTGCCTTGTTCTTCCTCTCCAAATCCTCCAAAATTGTGTTTTTATGCCTCCAATTACGTTCTCCCCTTCTTCTGGACGTTCTTTCGTATTTAAATCGCGTGGAAATTAGGTTACCAAAGGAGTTTCAATCGTATAAGGAAACTGCAAAACGGCCCCCAGATTATACCTATGCGACCGCATAGGCATAACTATGCTGTCGCATAGAGTAAACAAAATTTGAGAAAAGGTTCTCGGGAGGATTCTATGCGACCACATAGAGTTTATACTATGCGACCGCATAGGCATACATTCTTTTTGCCGGACAGCTTTTAGTATTTTGGTCATAACTTTCTCGTCTGATCTCCAATTGAAGTGATTCAAAGTGCATTGAGAAGAAAACTCAAAGATCTACATTTTTTATAGAAATAGACTTCCTCAAATTCCGATTTTTACTATGCGAAAAATAGATCTCAATTAGATACTAAAAATCACGAGCATAGTTTTTTCGCCTGAAAGTTGATACTTGATAATACTTCGACCCTATTTCACCTCGTGACTCCTTTCCTCATCCGATTGACCTCTAACACTCTTCAATCTTCATTCCATTTCCCGTCTCATCTATGAATTATTTGCAACTTGGTCCCCGAACTTTCATTTTAATTCATTTTAGTCCCTTTGCAATTCCTTCTTCTTCCAATCATCTTGTATTGCTTTCGAGTTCATACTAGCATATTTACATTCCCGAGTTGTCTTTTAGTTCAAATTTCAAATATTTGCGTCCTTAGTCCCTGGACTATCACTTTGCTCCATTTTAGTCCTTTTTCGGCTCTCTTCTCCTGAATTTCACTATTTCCATAGAAACACCTACATTGCATGAATTCAATGAGATTAAGTCACAATTCAATCATTTTGCTTGTATTTAAGTCATGTTTGTAATCTAAATAAGTGTGCAAAAACACACTTATCAGTCTCTATTTTCAATACATTGACCATGGATCCATCCCCATTTGATGCACTCATTAGACAATTAGTGTAACTTGCCACTAGCCTATCGACTATCCATCAGATATATTGCTACTCCTGAGGAGAGAAAGAAACTAGCTGATTAGTTGAGCAATTTTAAGCAAACCCCTCGTTTGATTGACACTAATTCTGAAGTGTCTCATAATAGACAATATCATCGTGGACAAAGTGATCAAAAATATTTTCGACACGATCGTAGGAATAGGGATTAGGTTCATGAGCGAGAATAAGACCATCATGATGAGCGTTTCTTTAGAGACATTGACTTAAATACTCCTACTTTCGATGGTTGCTTAGATCATGAAATTTTTACCCAATGGAACACCCTTACACAAGAGAATCGGCTAGTAACTGAATACATTGCTCAATTTGAGGAATTTCGAGTGAAATGTCATGTCGTTGAGGATGAGACTCTGAATTTAAGTAGGTTTATACAAGGTCTACGAGATGAACTTAGGCATGAGCTTTTCTTTCGAGGCATCACTACTCTTGATCAA